TTATTATTATTATTACAATATTTCAGTAGGAAGCTACACTCACAACAAGGTGATTTTCAGGCAGGTCCTACGATATCAATTAAAATACAAATAAAACTACATTATAATAGCATATATAAAAAAGTATGTTGAAAATTATATCAGCATAAAATCGTATATAGAGTTCTTAAAAGAAGTCAAATTGTTCGATTATCTTTGGTCTAAATTAATATAGAGTTCTTATATAGAGTTCTTAAAAGAAGTCAAATTGTTCGATTGTCTTTGGTCTAAATTAAGGTTATTCCAATCAACGACTGCTTGATATATATAGCGTTGTTTTCCCCAGTTAGTACGCGAGCGTGGAAGATGTAAATCCTGACGGCGGCGTGTGTTGGGGGAGTGAATTTCAACGTTTTGAACTAGGTTGAATTGATATTTTATATACTTATTTATACATTTATAAATACCAATACAACGGTGTTGGCGTCGACGTTCTGATAGAGGCATCCAGTTTAGCTGTGCGAGGGCTTCGGTACCGGAAAAGTATTTGGGATAATCCAGTATAGTTCTTGCTGCGTTATTTTGCAGAACCTGGAGATTATGCATTAGGACTTTATTGTTCTTGTCCCCCCATACAATATCTGCATAATCAAATAACGGTAAAATGAGACTGTTATATATCGCCAAACGACCATGTAGAGGCAGCAAATACTTAACACGACGCAGAACTCCAAGTCGTTGGCTGACTTTTTTGCTAAGGGCATCAATCTGGTCCGACCAAGACATATTTTGATTAAGTTTAATGCCAAGGTATTTGAAGGTGTCTCTACGTTCCAAGTTATGTGCGTTGATCTCTAATGAAAACTCACGGAATGAATTGAGTTTACGCGTGCTGCCGAAGATTACAAATTTGCTTTTCTCAGCGTTCAAAGTTAAAAGATTGTCATTTAAATATCTGCGAAGGATTTCAAGGTCAGCATTCAAATTTTCCTCAAGTTCCGACAACGTAGAGGAAGAGAAATAAAGAACCGTGTCATCTGCATACATAGTCACTTTACACTTCTTAATACAAGCCGGCAAGTCGTTCACGTAAAGGATAAATAGGAGTGGTCCAAGGACACTCCCTTGTGGAACTCCAACTGAGACATACTTTGCAGAAGAGGTAGCATTATCCACTCTTGTTACCTGTATTCTCTGATATAGGTATGATTTGAACCATGTTATAGTGGCATCAGTAAATCCAGCCTTCGATAATTTTGAAAATAGTATAGAATGGTTCACCGTGTCAAAGGCCTTTGATAGGTGCAAAAAGACTGCTCCAGTGACAGCGCCTTTGTCCATATTATCAAGAATCGAGTCAGTAAAATGTATCAAAGCGACTTCGGTTGATAGATTTGGTCTGAAACCAAATTGCACTGGCGATAGAATCTTTTCATCCACAAGGTATTTGTAAACTTGGTGATGTGCAACCTTCTCTAAGACTTTGCTGACCGTGGGTAGAATAGTGATCGGTCTATAATTTCCAGAATCGCATCTGTCTCCAGATTTAAATAGAGCAGTGACTTTACCAAATTTCCAGATCGACGGGAATTTCGACGACTCCAATGACCTATTGAACAACTTTGTTAAAACTGGTGCTATTAATGAGGCAGAGTCCTTTAGAAGACGCGCGCTAATCTTGTCAAGTCCTATGGCTTTGTTGGTCTTTAGCCGATTTAATTCTGTACGGACAAACGCTTTTTCTACAGGTTGGAAGTTGAAACCACTAACAGGATTAGCATCAACAGTCAAAGAAGGGTTTTTCCAGATGTAATTTAGACCAGGAGTTATCTTAGCAGCGAGTTTCGATCCAATAGAAGAAAAATAATCATTCAGGACTTCAGCAATGGATTGTGAGTCCGTGTAGGTTACGCCGTCCGCTTCAATACAAGTGACTGGCGATGTGGATTTACGTGATGTAATTTCATTAAGTATTTTCCATAGCCCACTAGAATTGCTTTTGTTTCTGTTAATTAATTCGAGATAATAATCAGCTTTACTCTTCTTAACTTGTTTGGTAACAAGGCATTTTAATTTTTTGTACATGTTCCAGTGAAATTCAGAGTTACTTTTAATAGCCTTTCTATGATGGTAATCACGATCTCGCATCGCGTCTTTAAGTTTAGCCGTCAACCAGGGTGTTTTGGTTCCTTTGATGCGGCTCCTTTTAATAGGTGCATGTTTATCAGCAACATCAGAAAAGAGTGTATTCCATGTTTCGACAGCAGCATCTAGATCTTGAGTTTCGTCTATTATATCCCAGTCAATTGACTTAAGATCTTGAATAAAAGAGTTCTTGTCAAAAGTGCGGTAAGAGCGATATTCAATTGTTTTTGGAGGAGTTTTGGGAACACCAGATTTTATAGTGCAATAAACAATAGAGTGGTCGCTAATTGCCGAGTGAATGACTCCGCTTTCAACAACACGATGACTATTATTGACAAAAACTAAATCAATCAGAGTTCTCGTCTGGTTACAAATTCTAGTGGGAGTTTTGATCAATTGTTCAAAATCATTCAGGTTTGCAAATCTTTGTAACTTCTGCTTCGCTTTATACGCGGCAGTATTCTTCTCGGCTGAGAAATCGGCATTAAAATCTCCCAGAATTATAACTTCAGTTTCAGCAGGCAATTTTGAAAGAGATGTGTTAAAATAGTCAATCAAGGAGTCACAGCAATAATCTGGCGGTCTATACACACAACAAACGATTAACTTTTTACATTTAGCACGGTTTATTTCAATCCAGCAAGCTTCGTTTACCCCGTCAAACAAGTCCGTTAGGTGTCTATAGGGAATGCCATCTCGAACAAAAATCGCTGTTCCACCACCTCGTTTGCCATTGCGGTCATGTCTTACTAACGTATAGCCAGGAATGTCAATTTCAGTATCCAATATAGTGGGATTGAGCCAAGTCTCAGAAACTGAGAAAATATCGAACGATTTACTTCTTACGAGATGACTAATGTTGTCCAGTTTATTTACCAAGCTTCGTACATTCAGGTGAGCCACTTTGAAGCCACGAGCTTTTGGCAGATCATCTGCATAAGGACCAGGATTTAAACTCACATCGCCAGATAAAAGAACTAACGAGGAAGCGACCATAGATAATTTCAGCAAATGTAAACTAACTTTCAATTTACAAGATGGTGGCAGGCTGGCTTTAGTAGTGGAAGGAGAATGTCTCGGTAGACCAGGCGTATTTCTTGTTGGAAACTGCTTGATATCCAGTTTAAGTGCACACATTAGACAGGAGGCACCTTTAACTAACCTTCGACAAGGTTTAAAAGACTCCACGAGCAAAAATAGAGATAAAAATACGACTAAAATGGTAGACAATCTAGAGAAGCGTCTTTCCGCCATTTTGTCTGACGTCTTATGTACATAATTCAAAATCTTAATTCAATCGTTGGTAACGTTGTACTTATATCAGTATCCTTTCTCTTGTATGTATAATATATAAACGTGTTTTTTTATTGTAGTCAGTTGTCTGAAGCAGGCGTTTATCCCCGAGCCGGCGGCGCGAAGCGCCGTGCGAGGGTACTAATTCCCCCCGGCTATTTACACCCGGGGAAACGAAAGCATTAGCGAAGTCTAAAGTTCAGTGAGCGCGGGCGTCGGTCACCAACGATGGGTGGTCATCCTCACTGATCTCAAAAATATGGCGGATTGTCATGAATAACGGACACTGATTGGTCCAATTTAAAGTTTGCATTATAACGACTGCATGACGACAGCGAAATAGCAAACATTTCTTGATTTGATCAAAGATTTGATGATTGACAAATTTCTTGCAAATATATTTCATTTTTGCTCGTATTTCTGCAAGATTTTGTAAATTTCAAGAAAGAAAAGGCGAAAGAATCAGCTAAAAGAAGGGAGCCGACGTTAACGAAGGTAAGTTTGTTTTAAATATTGATTTTATAATGGCTTTAAAACCCGACGGCCTTTGCGTATATGAAACAACTAAACAAGACAGCATATATGAATTTCAGTGTAACTTTAATATTGACTCCCTTTTTTATTATATTGAATTTTTTAAATAAAAAATAAAGCAAAGACCAAAGTTATTTGCAAGCGAGAATTTGAAATCATTTTATTGCAAACTTAAAGTTTATCGATAAAGCCATTTAATAGTTAAAGGCAGTTTAGTTTTATAAAGAACACTTTAAAACGTTTTGTGAATTGTTTGTGGTTGAATTTTACCTTAAATTGAGGCTTGTATTACGTATAATTACATACCTAACATATATATGTTGGGAAATTGATAATTTTGTAATTAAAAGTGATATTTTTAAGCGATTTTCATTTGTAAGAATAATCTTAAAAAATTATCGTGTTACCATGACAACTACTCTATATACTTCCTGTTCGGAAAATACAACGGTTTTGTCAGCAAGGCGAGGGTTTCTGCATGCATTTATTTTCTAGTACTAAAAAATAAAGTTGAAATTTAACCACATAAAATTTGTCTTGATCTATATTTGGATTTTCAAGTTGCATCTCTTCAGAATTTGTAATGTATTTTATATTTTTCAAAGAACTTGGATCAATATTAAAGGCACCAATGAAATAACCGCATATTTAACTTTGCAAAGACGTTCTTGCCAACAGTGGCAGAAATTCACTTTTCCGGTGGAGGGGGGGGGGGGGGAAAAGCCCCTTTCCGAAATTTCCGACAAATGCACCTCCCCATTTGCACTCGAAAAGACTGTTTTTAGCCCTCTTTTAGATCAAAATTTCCGAAAATTCGTCAATTTTCAGGAAGGAGGACGTTTGGAGTACAGATCTGATACACCTGAATTGTCAATGCTAGCAAGCTCACAGCTGTTAGAACTTGATGAACCTGATGAGGAAGTGTCTCATGAATGGAAGCAAATTTTTCTATTTGAAATAAACCAAAAACAATTTTTTCTGTTTGATCTTACTCTCAGCCCATCGCTAGTATGTCAGAATCAGAAAAGACTGGTGACGAATCGGAGACTGCGGAAAATGTTGAGGATATGAGTACCACTACAAGAAGTGGGAGGGTTATCACTACAAGAAGTGGGAGAGTTATCACATACTGGAGAGTTTCAAAATATAGATAAACGCAAGACAAATGTTAAAACAGAATTAATGATAGAAGTGTTATGAAAATTTTCACTTACAATGAAGGGGGTTACGAAAATTTTTCCATAGGTTTTTGGGAGGGCATGGAAATATGTACTTGAAATTTCATTTATCCTCCACCCCCCTCTAGTAATTACTTTATGACCGGTCCCTTAATAGTATGAACAATAACTGAACAGCTACAATAATCATATTATATGGATGGATCAGATCAATGGCCCGTACACAATGTGCAAAACTAAACTTGTGATATCTTTACTCAAACCGATATTCTCCCACAAATTGTTTTTGTGTGGGTATGTTGTGTTAAAGTGAACAGTGACGTGCGGTATATATATCATTAACTAGCACTGGTTTCTAGCGTGCAGGGTATTATACTGAGGTATAACTGCATGTTGCCGCAAATATACAGTAAATAAATTTATATCTTTGTGTAATCCCGGAATTTTAAGTGAAAAATCTGAATTTAAGATAACGAATTATATTCAAATCAAAGGAAGTTCGAGTGAAGTTTATACATAAGTTTTACTGAATTATTTTTTCACATTAGTGATGTGCGTATAAATATTTAAAGTTTCACTTATATGTACTTACATAATTGTAATTAATAAATGGTGCATGTTGGTGATAGTAAATTCATCCTCGCGCTCAATTTTTGCGTGTCGTAAATAAGCTGAAATGTGCCGTGTTGGTAATCATATATGTTAAGGTTGTGCAACTTGGAATAGACTGTTATTACAAAACAATCTATTTTACCATGCACATGCATAGGCCTACACTATTTATTATTAAGATGAGTTCAATTGAATGCGTCTGATTGTGAAAAATACCACGCCAATCCTGCTTTACATTTTCGGTTTGTGTTAACCGCCTCAGCTTATATCACGCTCAACATCAATTGTTAAAGACGTAATTACATTGGATAATATGAGTCTAGGATTGAGATTCGTTTTTTCACAAAACGCAAAATTATATATAACCGCTATGTAAACATACAATAAATTGATGTCCTATTTTGTTGAATAATATGTCAGTACCCTAAATGCAAGCAACAGAGCGCTTGGAGAAGACAAGGATTTTGGAAAACTTCCGCCGAAATGTTTTAAATAAATTTATAGATAATTAATTAACTGGTTTGCTATTATAATAGGAAATAAACCAAACAAACTGGCTACAGCGTTTCCACGTGGTCTTCCCTCATTCCAGTTAATTCAGGTACATAATCTCAACATATTTAGCATACAAGTCAGCAGGACTGAAGGGACTTTTGCAATCTTCAACCACATCACTTTCAATCAGACACAAGAACTCGTAATACGAATCTTTTTTCTCCTCGGGAACTGAACAAATCTGCGTCTCAATTTTGTTGTCTTCTTTCACACCATTTTCAATAGTCTCGAATAATTTGTCAAGTTTATTGCATATCAAATCTACTTCGGAAAAGCATTTATTGGTGGCAATCAACTTTGCGTCATTGTTGTTTTTAACACATCTTTCCTCTTTACGCTTCCTTCGGCGTTGACTTGGTTTACTCCTACATAACACAAAACATAAGGATAATCCGTTACAATGTCCTCGACGGTTTACGTTATCCAATTTTGTCATGTCGGGCTTTTTGTGGGACCAATTTGAAATGCCTTGAAAATAGCTATCTTGCACGCATTATGCATGGAAAAATAAAATTATGTTGGAATTAAACCGAAATGTTCATTGTCAATCAGATTGCATCGTTGAGCGGAATAATTACATTAGCATATACTCGGCTTGTTTTAGTCACTTCAAATTTCGCATATTGCTGGAAAAATTTCTCGATCGGTTAGTATCATATATAACCGAGCAAGTTTTTGCCTCACCAAGGTAGCTCTACGTACACTATACTATGCACTTGTCCATCCGTATTTACAATATTGTGTAACAGTGTGGGGTTCAACATACCCTTACAAATTAAATTGTCTCTTATTGCTCCAAAAAAGGGTGATTAGAATTATCAATAAGGTAGAATTTGATGCCCACACTGATCCATTATTTAAAGATAATAAAATATTTAAGTTCAAAGATATTTATTTTTACAATCTGGGGAAATTCATGTTTTTATACATAAATAATAGGCTTCCTAGAAACTTCGACAACCTGGTGTTAAGAATAAACAGATGCATGGCTGCGGCTTGCGGAGAGCTGAATTGTTATATGTACCATTGTGTAGAACTAAGTTACAGTACGTCAATTCTCTGTGTCCTATCAAGGTTCACGTTTTTTTAATACACTGCATGAGTAACGATATTCGTAATGCACCAACTCTTCAACAATTCCAATTCAAATTAAGAAACTTCTTATTCTCTAGTTTCTCTCGACTATAACATGTTTTTAATACTTGGCTTTTAATACTTTAATTAAAACCCAGATATGCCAAATTTAGTTAAACCAAGTCTATCTGATTTGAGGCTATACTATAGCACAGCTGTAAATAAATTATTGTAATACGTTTATACATGAGAAAGCCCATAACTCAATAAACCTTATGGTTTCTACTTAGGGTTCCTCGTCACATGTATTTTTCGTTATGTTTGTTTTGTAAATAATTCCTTTTTTGTGGCCATTTTAATAAATTGAATTGAATTGAAATTGATGTACGTGGAGAGTACTTTACGGGCGATTGGAATGGTGCTCAAAATGTCTCCCGTTTTGTTCTGGCTACAGACGAGCAAATTGTTTTGCACACAAAGAAAGCTACCGAAATTCCGAATCCGCATTTGTTGCGCTAGAAGATAACACGGTATGAAGATAACCGATGAAATTCGAAAAATCACACCACCTAGCTGTGATGGAAGGGACCTACCAATGCGGGGACGCCCCATTATGATAATGTGTCCTGTTCGACTATTGTGTTGGACTTCCTAATCAAAATTATGAAGCAAGAATAACTTGTCACTCTTGCTTCATAATTTTGATTGAAATTTATATAACATATAGCGTAGGGTTTTTCAAAAGGCGTACGCGTTCGATCACATTGGATCAATTGTATCACTAGCTGTAATCCAAACCTCAAAACAAAAACATTAAATCCCGCCAAATTTATTATTTAGACAAAAGGATCCACAACTGCCAGATTTATCTGAAATATTTATGGATCATGCATACTTATTTGAAAATACAAATTACCTTGTAAACTTCTCAATGATTTTCCCAACCACATAATCAACGAGTTCAAATTCATTTTCTTTCTCGGCAGTTTCCTCCTGTACTTCGGCATACGAATCATCAATGATTGCGATGAACATGTTCATTAACACTATTACATTGAGTCCAATGAAAGCGAAGAAATACAAAGAACCGAATACTACACTGACGGACATCAGTGCTTCAAAATCAAAATCACCCAAAGTCATACTGAACTGAGTTACCATTGTTCTTACAAATGTACTATAATCTTCCAGTTCTGAACCAAACACGCTAAATGCAAACAGAGCAAACGCCAAGTAGCCAGATTGAAAAGGAACGAAGAAACTGAAAATGGGCTCACTGATGCGAGATAACGTTGTACCAATAATCAGGAAGTTTTTATTGAATCTCAGAAGTCGCAAAAACCGAAGAATGTAGAAAAACACTAGAATACCAAGGATGGTCGTCATAGTAGCATCTGCCTGGCCAGCATACTGGAAAGCAACGTAATCGTTTGGATTTTCTCGTAGTTGCAGTAGATTTCGATCAACTTCGTACAATCGTGCCAGAAATAGGACAATTAAAGAAAATTGAGAGATAACAAGAATTGTTTCCACCCAATTCCAAAAACCCTTGAAGTAATTCCAGCGTTGTTTATAGAGAACTTTCCCTTCTCTATAAAGGAAATACAGCATGAAGAATATGACCAAGACATGGGCCAGTGTTTGGCCTCCGTTGAGCTGAAGATAAAACCGCGCAGCCTGTAACTGAACCTTGTTAACTACACCTGTAGAAGACGGATATTCGATTAAAATTGAAATTATACCAAACAAGTTTGTATTTGCGTTGTAGACGGTAAATTCCACAAAAACGGCACGCGTTTGCTTGCTGATCCAACCATTTGAATGCAAATCAGCAACAACAGTATAAGCAGTCAGTTGGTCATAACCAAGATTAGCTGCATAACCACTTCCACCATATGTAGCAATCGTTCCCCAGTAAGGGAATCCACGTAGCTCTAACATTGACTGATGGCGCCATCTTTGCAAACACGACAAGATGTGTCCATCTGCCGATACAGCATTGCTTTGAATGGTGTATGTCTTCGGGCGCCCGCTAGACAACAGTCGGTTCTTTCTCCTACGATTCCGTCCACTTTGAATAGGATCAACATCTCTTTTTCGACGATAAGCACGCCTATCGTTTTCAACTTCTTCTTTTCGTGTTACACTTTCCAACCATTCTTCTTCGTTCTCTGGGATACGAGTTCCCCGGCGTTTTCTGGTTGAAGTACTACCCAGTGGCTCCCAGCCTACGTTATAGTTTTTATCATCTCTATTTGCTACGGAATACTGCGAGTTACACTCAGGAATGGTGTCCTCAAAATAGCTGGACACTGTACACGTACCTATTGAATGGAACATAGTCGTATTAAAGTGTAATAGAAAAAATTGTAAAGCAATCCTTGCCTACCAATTCACAAGAGCGAAATATGTATGGGGACTCGATAGGATCGCGATTTAATGTTACGCGGATTCGCGCTGCTGGACTGCATAGTCTTGAAAAGAGCGGGAAAATGAAAGCCGAATAAAAAGGGGTTAAAGGGATTTAAAACATTTTATTTAGGACAGATAATCTCAACTGTTCAGGGATATAATGACAACATGTGCCAAAACCCGAATCCGGGACGAAACGTCCCAAATTTACTACATCGGCAGAATCGGCCCTTGCGAGATAGTCTATCTACTAAATGGTTGCTTTTAGGGATGCTCATTGGTGAGTGAAAAATGTCTAGGTCTAATATTTTACAAGAAAATGACCATCACAAGTCAAATGCTGATTTATACATCATGTAACATGATGAGCATTTACTGAGTTTTCAGAACATGAAAAGATTAGCCAAGTCAATTCACGTGCTAGCGGTCTAAACAACGTGAAATTTTCCGTATAGATAAATTTTAGCATGAAAATTTTAATTCTGGGACAATTTTAGACTTGCTCCAAGTCTCTCTTTCATTGTCATATAGTATCGATCCACTATAGTGTACATTACATGACGTAGTACGGAGGGGCGGAGCGAAAAAGAGAGACTTGTCAACTTCGGAAAATCTCGGTTCAAAACTGAACCGAAAATGCAAGACTTGCTTTAGTTGTTTTCTGTCAGTGTTTATATGTATTGATCTAGCACAGTGTAAATAACACGAGTTCCATAATAATAAATAATACAGAAAGAAATTGAAGGAAAACGATTAAAGCAAGTCTTGCATTTTCGGTTCAGTTTTGAACCGAGATTTTCCGAAGTTGACAAGTCTCTCTTTCTCGCTCCGCCTCTCCGTACTACGTCATGTAATGTACACTATAGTGGATCGATAAGACAATGGAAGAGAGACTTGGAACAAGTCTAGGACCATTTTGGCGAAAGGACTGTAGCTAGCTAGCGAGATGGAGAATTGATGATGGTAACTTGGATCGGAGTAAAGGGTTTTCAGGTAAACACAATGGAACTGAGTTGAATGCACTTTATCTTACATTTCTTAATATAATTTTTTGGCGTAAAAGTGCACTTCGGTATGCCTATTTTTTAATCATTGTTAACACTAAGTCACTAACCATTCTTAACACGAACCATTCTCACACGCGGAATACCAACAAGATAATCCTCCATGTTTGCGATATAACCTTTTTCAATTTTCTTGCCGTTGTACCACTTCCCTGCGTACAATCCTGGAATAAGTGTCTCGCGAGACCACATCCATAATGAATCAGCATCGACGATCTGCGCAATAAGTAAAACACAATTCAAGCGGTGTTACGAATAGTGTATAATACGCATTTATATATAATGAGGGTAGCGCATAAAGAATTAAAAGAAAGAACAAGTTTCTTCAAAAGTGGCAGTTCCACAAATGAGCGCAACAAACACTGAATGGTGAAACGCCTTCGTTTAAATCTGAAACACGACTGTTTAGTTTAGAAGAGGGACTATACTACAGGAAACTCGACTAAGGCCTATTATATCAATATTATCCTCCATACATTTATATCAAAGCAATCAGGGCGAGAAATACGCGTTGCAAGGAAACACGCAATGAAAAAAACAGGCGCGGAAGAAAATGAGGAAAAAGGAAGGGTTAAAAAACCGACGTGCAGTTGTTCAATTCAAAAACACATACACGATTCTGACTTTGTTTTGAAAGCACTATTCCTTTTATCACTTTCTTGAATGTTCATAAACAAATAATGATACGAGTCGGGCTCCCTGTGATTATAGACACGTTTGAACTACACATGTTTTATCTTATACTTCGAAATAATTTATATACCTGTACTTGCATTAAACTGTGAAATATGGCAAAGATTCACATGCGCAGATGCTAACTCACCCAGTCAAGTGGAATGGAAAATGAATCAACATTGACAAAGGTTTCAGACAAGGTTTTGCTCAGTAAGTAAGTATTCGGATCCCTGTGGTATTGCGCAACATCCATCAAGCAAACAAGAAAGAAAAAAAATACAAATATTTCTGTTAAAGCTGCATTCATCTTTATCTCTTTCAGACGTTTTGCTCTTGCTCTCTTCAGCTTGGTAGGATCTGGAGGACTGAAAAAAGGAAATAGTATGTAAAATTAAATATTGGCAAACCTGTATTATTAGGTGACAGGAAACGAAACTTTTTATGGTAGGCACAGTATTCGTTTACGTATATTTGACTTAATCCTGCGTTTAGAATTATTAAATTATATCATTATTAAGGTCCGTTCCAAACACAGGCCTGTGTCTTCCCATGTGAAATCTATTAACTTGTGAAACTTTATTCTGATCGAACCAACACAGCATAAACCGATGTATAAGGTCGACAGATAAAGTGCAGCGCACGAGAGGGTGGCGTTTCAAACGGTACTCATCAAGTGCCTTTTTACGGTTGGAACATAGAGAGTTAACCACTGAAAAAGGTGGTATTCACAAACGGGCCTTCGGCGATTAAAATTGCATGCCAAATAATTTACCCCAATCCGTCAGGTATAATTTTTGAAGAACTGGAAGGTAATATACGATTGTAAAACTTTGTTGCCGATGTTATAGTTATGGCACATATAGCACCTATGTGACATTTACAAAAAAGAGCAACATTCTCACCTTAAATATTTTTTCACTTTTTCTCCTTCACGGGGCGGTGGAGGCTGAGTGACAAGGAGATTGTTTTCTTGCTGGTCAACCAAGGGATGTTCCATTGCAAGCGTGATATTGGACTCCTCCGTATCAGCGGGTTTGCGAATAAATATGGCGAAAACAACAGCAAGAACAACAACTTTGACCGGTTGTAGCAGTAATGCTGATTGAAGGAATGATGTTACCATGGCAATAACCCATTCTGTTGATGTTTCCTTTCCCCATTGAATAGCTACAAAATATAGTTTTACACGATAAACACTCACCTCAGGAAGGGCTCACTGACTTAATTAGTTCAGCTTTTTTCGTGCAGGTACATCGTACAGTCACGAATAATTGTGGAATAAACATTTCTTTTTCTACTGACATGGTGCTGATGCAAATATGCTTCAAATTGATTTAAACCATAAGTTTAGGAATATACAGATGTGCAACTTGGCGTCGGTATGATTTAAACCATAAGTTTAGGAATATACCGATGTGCAACTTGGCGTCGGTATATATCTTTGCAGTTGGTGTCCTTGCTCAGTTTGCCTCGCCGATCACGAATTAGCGATACTTACTGATAAAATGGCGGCATGAAGCGATTTTGCTTCAATGAAAAACAAGGGCATTTCTTTAATTAAATGACATGTGGCATGCAATAACATGATTATCGAGATCTGCGAAGCAAAAAGTAAAGACCTGGAGCGAGTAGTTCAAAGCTCGGTTAGTGATATCGTAGCCTGCGAGCAGGCTCTCTGGGTGAAAGAGAGCCTGCAAAGATCCCTATAACATTTACGTGCATGCGTCCAATATTTGGACGCAGAGCTCTGATTGGTTGATAACTGATTCAAATGAAGTGATTGACAAGCTTCCATAAACTACACTTCCCGTTTGTAAAACCGAGCAACGCAAAGCTTCGGAATTGCGGCAATGTAGAGATAAAAGTGCCATGTATTTTGTATCCTTGTTGACTTTTTACTGTAAAATAATATAGTATTCATATAAAGACGAATACTAAAAGCTTGCATGCTTTATTGTGTCCTGGGCTTGTCTGACTTCTAGGCTAAGAAAAGACTGAACAAATTCGCAAACCGAAACCTAGGGACAAGGCATTTATATATCGCTTCTCTTTCATGAAACAATATTGAGAATTATTGTGATAATATTCAGTGCATATTGTTTGTATTAAGCTTGTTTTACAATGTTATACCGACTATTTAATATTTATAAGTATGCGGCGTTAAAATGTACAGTAATTTACTCGTCACTTTGTTTACAATAATTATCACATGCATGTTTAATGCTGTAATTCCACCTTTTGTTGCAAAATTTGAACTATAAACATATTAAATTATGTCCAATGTCCATGGTATATCATGTTATACTATACTGGATATATATATATATATATATATATATATATATATATATATATATATATATATATATATATATATATAGCTTAAGATTTTGGTTTACGAAACACAAACAGTGCTCAATACCATATAGATAGAGCGTAATATAGTTTTTCGTTTTACCTCAAAAAACCACAACAGTCTGTTTCATCCGTATAGGAATCATCAGACCACCTGATGATTCCTATACGGATGAAACAGACTGTTGTGGTTTTTTGAGGTAAAACGAAAAACTATATATATATATATATATATATATATATATATATATATATATATATATATATATATATATATATATATATATATATATATATATATATATATAATTTGTTGTGGACAACATACTTGGATAATAAATATAGATTTTGAACGTAAAGGATACAGCCTAAACCCAATTTATATGGTCTTGGTAGACCTGACTATACCCCAAACAACAATAAACTTCATCAAGTATAACGCATTCAAGATGCAGTACAAATTCAAGATGTTCAAAATCTATATTTACTATCCAAATATGTTGTCCACAACAAATTATTTATATATCGCTTATCTAGCAAATTCCACCTAGCAGATGGCTGTGCCTTATTGGTATGTTATTGTATATTGTTATGTTTGCAAAGCACGGGAGCTTTGAACCTGTTTTTATAGTTTCAATAAAGTCATGGTCATTCAGACATGTAATGTATGAATAAAATCTTTTAATCATTGTGTATGTGTATTTCTTCCTTCTAAGTGTCCATGCAGGGTCACAAGGCCTGCAGTTAAACTATATGTGACAATAGTTTGAAAGCTCACGAGTGGAGGGAATACATTCTAATGCTATGTTTGCTAGATATATACAAGCTTGCTAGGCATTAGACCGAAATATGTCTACCTAGTAATAGCCAGAAATGGTACTGCATCTTGAATGCGTTATACTTGATGAAGTTTATTGTTGTTTGGGGTATAGTCAGGTCTACCAAGACCATATAAATTGGGTTTAGGCTGTATCCTTTACGTTCAAAATCTATACATTTATTATCCAAGTATGTTGTCCACAACATATATATATATATATATATATATATATATATATATATATATATATATATATATATATATATATATATATATATATATATATATATATATTGCAGCATGAAGCAATTCCAAACAACTGAATTAGTTAGCGGGTAATATACAACTTTAAACGTACTGTGCCTACAGAAACACATGCAGATTGTAATAACAAGTACAACTTGATATATTACACTGTAAAACCTCAAGCAGTTTTAACTTTTTTAGTATGCCCCAGTGGCGGTCTGTATACGAAACTAACGAAAGAATACAATATAAATGGAGTTCAACGTTTATCGGTTTATGTTTACAATATTGAAGTGTATTTCCGGTCTGCGCTGATTGGTTGATATTAGTTGACCTGTGACATCCTAATTGAAGGGCGGCATGCATTCATCATAGGGATCCTTGCAGGCTCTCTTTCACCCAGAGAGCCTGCTCGCAGGCTTGTGATATCGCTGGGGGTAATACATCCCGTTGTTTTGGTATTTCTGTACCTCATTTATTTCAAAACATTAGAAAAATAAAACTTTAGGGAAATATTTTCAAGTTCAGTTGGTGTTTTTCTTTAACCTAGGATTAAGCGGACTATTTTTCGAACATCGGCCCTGGGAACATGAACATGTAATTCTCCCAACAAGCAGTGGCGGCGGAATAGGGGCTAGGGGGCTTTAGACCCCCCCCCCCCCCAGAAGTAACGCCAGAATGCGAGACCATTCACGTAATGAAGAATGCCAGAATGCGAGACCATTTATACAAACTACGAAGTCGTCAATAAATTACTGCACGCCGGTTAAAATGCAAAAGAAAATATCCTACTTTGTGATCAACTGAATGTAAATTGCTTTTCTTTCACCCTGAGTATGTATCTTTGATCGGTACAGTAAATACTACGTACAAAGTAAGAGTATTGGCCTTTGTGGTTATTTAGGAAATGGGACAAATAAAAGTTAAGTGAAGAAGTTTCAGACTTTCCTAATGGGTGATTCCAGACGAAATTTTGATCAAAGCAAGAAGAACGAAATCGAACACCACAGCTAGAAAGAGCGTCTTAGAATGAGTAAAGGTTGGTTTCTAAATGTCGTAAAATGAAGAAAATATACCCCTGTGAAGTTCGCAATTTTGTACATATTAATTTTGTATTACGAGTGGTAAAATAACCACTTTCGGCTCAAAATGGTCATTTTTCTCGCGCATAATGCAAATGAAAACAGTATATACAAAATTTGCGAAAATCACAGGGCTATATTTTCCTCATTTTACAACAATTCGCATTTTACCACTCTCTTTCCAGCTATGGTAATGGACTTCGTTCTTCTGGTCTTCATCAAAATGTCGTCTAATAGCTGGAATCATCCATTGATTCTAACCCTCGATTTCGAATAGAACATTTAATAAGAACTTCTGATGTAAGCATTGCATTTATCTTGTGTTTGTGCTCTTTGTTGCAAAGCGAGAGTATGAACTATGGAATACAATTGTATTTCTAATTTGGTTTACATTTTTAAATCATTGAAATGCTTAATATTATGTTTTGTGTCCAGTCAGACAAAATTTAACACTGCTTATGTGCTGATTGCGCAAATCGTATAGTGATCTTTTCAATCTTTTGGCAGCTTATAATTGGTCGTTAATTTGCTTCGATTGCTCATTAATTCATCATGAGATTAAATTATCTATGCAAAATTGCACATCCGTATTTTAGTAAGATTTTGAACAATTTTTCAAGGAGAAATCACTACACGCCATGCCGTTTGCGGTTTGTGTCTCCATGCACTTAGTCAAAAACTACAGTAATTTTTTTTTTAATTTAGCCCCCCCCCCCCCAATAAAATATGTTCCGCCGCCCCTGCCAACAAGATTGAAACGTGGGTATGCAACTACGGCTCAAACTATTATTGAAGTGCATTTCTCTAACCTGTAGAGTAAAGTAAAGAAAATCGCGGCAGCAGATGCAAGGTAACAAAGGGCATGAGCAAAGTAGATACACCAGTAAGGCAATTTCCCTTTTGACTGTTCCTGATTTGGATATTCAATCTTCACCCCGTTTGGATTTCGTGCTTTACTTTCTTCAGCCTTTTTCTTCTTGGGTCGAAGATTACGGAACATTTGCACGATTAACACATTCACCGGTACAATAATAACGCTGCTCTGCAGGCCAATAACAAAAGGTTTTAAATCAATCACGAGAGAGCCAATGTGGATTGCAAATGGACTAGGACCATGACCTCCCATGTTGTAAAACATTGCGCTTGTGATCATCGTACAGCATAACAGACAAAGAGCGCACGAGAGACGCTGAACACGAGTGAAGTTACTAGTTGGAGGTCTGGAGACAATGGAAAACCATATATGACCATCTGCCAGTCCTTTAATTGCACGAGCCGAGAACAAATGACTGAAGTTTGTCATCTCTTCCTCGTTTGCTACAGGCAGGATTCGACATACTTTACCATCTTCAGATTCCACAGCTAGCCAGTTTTCACAAAACAACGACCACATTTGCTCGGTTTGTAGATCTTTCACTAAGATTCGACTGAGGTACCAAGATGGCGAAGACCCTAAATTAATAAGTCAGCATGAACTAACCATTCACCATACAGTTATAGCGACAACATTGGCAATGGTAACATGATTTAAAACTTGATTTAAAAAGAATATATTCCTAAAGGTATCATCATAATTTGCTATGTTTCGCAACAATTAATGCACCAACGTTATGTAGCCTGCGTAGCAGGTGGTTTATTTCCCATTGACCGATCTGCCACGCAGGCTAAATTTATCTGGAAGAAAGGGAGGTACCAAAAATGCCCTGGTCCCCGACCTGGGAGTAATCTCCAAGCAACAAGGGCCTATAATTTGTTCTAGTTTACTATCCAAACAGCTTAGGAATCGTGGTGAAGAAACGTCTATACAACTGGTAGCTATGAACTGTTAATCATAATAAGTCTTTCATCGATTTTAAAAAACTCACTCGTGCATGTAATTTTCAAATTGCACTCGGAACCATGCTACAGTCGAACCTCCCTATAAGCGTAGACTGTAGGAGTCCGCTTGTAAGAAGTCAATAATATATATAATTATTATACAATAATATTAGCATTATTTGATTTTTGTCTGTGTTGGTGTTATGTACTCAGGTGAATATGATGTTCGTGATGTCACTGCTAGTGTATATGTAGCCTCACTTTCGAAATATCACATACTCGAACCGATCTGACCGCGTAGCTCAGTTGGTAGAGCATTGGGCTAGTATTCCAAAGGTCGTAGATTCGACACCCACCGTCGTCAGACATATTTTTCAAGTTTGCTCGGTGTGTATATACACTCAGTGTAACATCACAAACATTAGCATTATTTACCAGATAAAGCACTAAACATACTTTTTACGTATAAAATATTAAAACTTTTGAATGTAGTCATAACCATATGGTATGGTACACTCGTTCGTTTTAAGCTGGTATTACGTAACACAAAAATTTCCTCTTTAGGATTGTACGTGCGCCTTCGGACTGGGCACTATCCTACTGCCTACTGTATGGGAATGAATGCTGGTGACTTAGTCCGCATGGATAAGTATTACCTGAATTATCATGCCATATTTGAACGTAACTAAGATCACCAATGCCCTGCGGATATGAAATAACAAACGCGCTTTCCTGTTGGCGTTCGAAGCAAGGTCTGTAACGATCTCGGAGTCGAACAGGATATGTTTCGCCTTTATCTCCAGACATTTTGAAGATAACTTTTGCCGTAGTCCCAGCATTGCGTCTGCTACCAGTGTACGTCGTAATCAGGTAATGATAAGATCCCTTTGGTTTCGTTAGGATAGTTGGACCAACCTGACAATGTTCAAAGGAGGAGAACTTATTAACCACAAGTTCGGTAATTGTCTATCAATGTGTACACTTGTACAGTAAAGATACGGTATGTCTTCTTGTTTTATGTAAGTGAGTTTGATCCAGTGAGCTCTATATAGATCTGGAGCAAGAAATTAAGTCATTCGGCCTGAGAAAAGTGAGGCCAAGATGACGAAAGTGACGTCCAATATCTATGAAGGTCGTAATGTTGAAGACCATGGCCATAGGGTTAACCCCAACCTAAAGAGTTTTTATACCATTTTCTACAGCTAATTACAGTTTGTTCTAACGGATCGTTACACTAATCAAGTTTTCATTTCATAAAATCATAATATTAGTTTTTAAACGAAGTCAAAGAATGAAATTTCAGCACATTCCTGGCAGCTTCATGACCGTCCACGTAGACAAAACGAATAGACAGGGACAAGGTTGACGTCCAATAGCTCTTCAATTTCCGCCATCTTCAGCTTCAATTTTTGGACTCGATACAAAAAAAAGACAACAAAGATTGAACACGAAAAATTGCCTGGAAAAACGTCACTGTAATTAAACATGGTGAAACAAGTTTGAATTTTGCAGTTTGAGTGAAAACAATGGCAATATTTAGTTGAGTTATAGAGATTATAACAGATTAATTGTACAATAAATGTATTTAGATTTGCTGAACTTACATAAAATCACTTCAACATATTAATCAAATTAGTATATAATTATACATGCTCAATATACAGAGCATACTATAAGGAGTATTTATAGAGCGTACTGATAAGTTACGTAAACTAAGTTGTGAATATGATTTTACTTCTCAAATTCCCTATGCTTAAAGTTCCCGCAACTTGATAAAATTTCAGACAGTTCATGAAATATAGAGAATGAAAATTCTAAGCGCTGATTGGCTGAGTGGTATAACCATATTTGGCGAGCTGTAACCGATTGTATAATTTGTTCATATTTTGTTTTTTGTCAATGAATAAAGTTCACCTACCATTAATAGGTCTCTCTTATCAGCTCGTCTAGCCCAAATAACTCCAATAATGTACCCACCAAGAATGGTTGATATCAAAGCCAGTACAGCTACATTCTGAGCAAGACTACCAAAATTGTTGAAAACCGAATCGAAGTCACTGGGATTCGGAGCAACAAAAAGCTCGCTTCCAAAGGATGTCAGATGATTACATTTACACAAAATTTGTTCCCGGTTTGTACCCAAAACCACCTGCCATAGAAGTAAAAATAAACAAAAGGTTATTGATTTATATTACTGAATACGAAGTAAATACTCCAATTTTATTTGAAATTCATGGCCAGACATGATTATCATTCTACTTACAATCTGCATATCAAGTTAATAGCAAAATGTGAGAAGAAGGCAGGTCGTCATCTCGTTCCCCGAGCCTGGGATCCTCGGGAAGGAACGTGAGGCTCTGGGATAATCCGTTTCAAGGAGGAATCTGATTGGCCGTTGAAATGGAATGCGTAGTTCAATCTTAGCCAGGATTCCTGGCTTCCGGCAACGGATTATCCCAGAGCCTCGCGTTCCTTCCCGAGGATCGCAGGCTCGGGGAACGAGATTGGCAGGTCGTTTGCAACTTGTCGCGATCGCTCAAGGAAAACCAATGTGTGTCAAAGCATTTGGTGTAATATTGGCCTAACAATAAATTTCAAGTTATTCTGTTACCAAAACAGGTGGGGCTACTATACGCAGCCAGAAATCTCGCAGGTCTGTCGAAAGTTGTTGATTTTACCCATAGCCAGAAATCTGCGACGGCAAGCGGTTCATCTCACCATAGGCGTACGGGCACAATTTTTTTTTTTGGGGGGGGGTGGGGGGCAAACAAAACTTGCCCGAATTTTTAAGCTGATGACAAAAAGTGCCCGAATTTTGATAAGACTTTTTATTTATTTTACAAATGAACTATCTAAATTTTAACAAGTGCATTCAACATTTAAATTGGAAGCCTGGCTAAGAGGTTTCACTTAGAAGAAATAGCTATCTCGTCCATTTCGTCTACCAAAAGTATCAATTATTTTAATCATGTCGTTCTTGATAGTTTGGCTAGCATATGCTCGTTCAATGTTAATGACAGCAATAGAATTCAAGCGTTCTTCGCCCATTGTCCAGCGGCGGTAGGTTTTCACGCGCTGCAATCCACTGAATGAGCTTTCAGCGGTACATGATGTAGCAGGAATCGACGCAAGAATGGTTGCTGCCTCGCATAGTACAGGTAATAAGTCGCATAGTCCATCCTGAAACATTTTGTCGACGACGTCTGCTGCAGTTTTCGCCCGAGGATTGGACTCGTCCATGATGGAATTGTGATACATACACTTCTCGACTTCAAGAAGATCCCTGTCGACATTGTAAAACTCTGCCACAACATCAAAGCTGTTTTTTAAAAGTGAGTCGTTTAGTACAACGTCTCCCAAAGCACACAAGCACTTCTCGGTCAGTGTACCATTTTAGGGGTCCAAAATTTTTTCCGGACATACCAAAATTTTTCGGAACATCAATCAAATTTTCCAGACATCACAAATTTTCTCCATTTATCCAAAACATTTTTCTGAAATTCCGACCCCTATCTTGCCCTTTGTGCGAAAATATTTAACCCAAATAGTAGTCCTACCGACTGAATAGCAGTCCTACCGACTGAATAGCAGTCCTGCCGACTGAATACAATTTCTGGGGGGTGTCACACCCCCTCACCCCCCGTAGCTCCGGGCCTGGATGAAGGATTCTTAAATATGAAAGTTCACGATTTTATACACGTGATCTGTGCGATCCCAATCGAAATAAAACAAAAGGTTTTACCTTGCATCCTTCACCTGTCCAAGTCTCGTTTTCCTCATGCCAGTAGAGACAGCTTGATTCAAACATTGATAAATTGTAGTTTGGGGTTTGATTAGGGAAAAAGAACTTTCCATCAAATCCAAGGTTATCTGGTGCTTCAAAGTGAACAACTTTGGGTGGATCAGTTGGCTTAGGAGGGGCAGGAGGGATAATTACACACGAACGACGAACACGTCTTCCTCCTTCGCCTTCGCATGAAACTGAACGTCGTCGACGAGAATCTGTCTTAGCCAAATTGCCAACGTCTTCGTTGTTGTCTAATGGTTCTAAGTGCTGGACAGCTTAAATTATAATGTTTATAATGTATATCAGATTAACTTTCAAGGTACAGGTAAAATAATTTATGGCAGAGGGCACCAAGACCAAGGAAGAACATTTTCTAGCCTGATTAATGTGTTGATTGACAAATGGAATATTTTTTCCAACAAATTTGTTATAACAAAAAATGGTAACAAAATTATGTTTGGCTAATCTGAAACAATGCTCAGAATATTTACAAATTCTCTTCTTAATTGTTGAGATAGTCGGAACTAAAACATCCTGCCACCCGCCACCTTGTTTTATAATTAGATCTGATTAAATGATGTCACAACCAGGTTAATCATTTTGAACCTAACAAATATTAGCCTATTAGTAAAAAGCTTGTACATAGCTTGTAATTTAAATTAAAACAGATAGGAGTCAAAAAATAAGATTAAGCATAAAAATGATCCGAGAATTACTATTTAAATATATAAAATAATTTCACCCTGGTTGTAATTTTTAATTACCCTGCATATCCGACGATGGATATGAATATCCAAGATTGCGGAATGCATAATCATAGTGTATTATATCTTTGTACCACGAACAATAAGAAAAATCTGTATTGAAGTTTTGAACTTTATTAAAACTCTTCCAAATGGAGGTTCACTTAATTTCTATTGCTTTTGCCGTTCAAATTAAAAAGTCGTTGATCCAACCAAAAATTTTAGAGTTGCACAAATCAGGTATATGCATTACCTTTGACCCATGGGATCTGTTCATATGAACCCAGCCAACCAGGATACTCACCTGCGCCAGATCTGCATGCCCTTTGTTAACGCATATAAAATTCAATTGTGTTCATATGAGAAACGAGTCAGACCGGGTGGTTGAGATCTCACCTTGCGCTAGGTAGGGAGATTTCAGTCAAATGGGCGAACAGTTTCCATATGAAGGTTTTATCTCACCTGACTGGGATGATTGGATGGGAAGAATTTTTTGCCGATTTTGACCTTACATAATAACATAGCGTTGAACGGCGTAGTTGGAAAATACAAACAAAAATAAACATTGATAGACATAAACAGCCACGAAATTCGTAATACAAGTTGCAGTTGGTTGAATTACAACAAAACATATTTCGAAGACGCTATGTTTACATAATACACTCTTTCGATAATTACGTCACGTATACCTTTCGGTCTTGGAGTATCGCTCTCATCAGTAAATTACGCAAGCCCTGGTGATTGGCTCACGATTCATGAGAGCGAGTCTCCCAGGTCAAATGACGTAATTATCGGAAGGGTGTATTTCGTCCCACCGAGCCACGATATTAGGTGGGATAATTCATCCCACTCTGGTGAACACGCCCATAGAAAGGTAACAATATAATTGACCATCGCTATATTAACCTCGAACGGTCCGTGCCGTATAGGCAGTGCCAATAATAAGAAAGCTGTGGGTTGATAGGGATACAACTAAGGTTCATATTAGCCTCTTCCGCAGGCATCTCGTGGTTCATTTACTTTACAAAGTAGATTCATATTAGTGTTAACTTTGTTGTTATTACTATATTAGTGTCTGCTTTATTTTATTAGTACATGCACTCAGTTTCAGTATAGTACAATGCCCATTTGATATGACTGCACGTATGTATGTATACAGGATATCTACAGCCATTCATGGCAAGGCAGCAGGAAAAACTACAGTCAAATCAAAAGCTTGCACAGTGGAAAATAAAATTTTTACTGTGAAAGTAACCAAGGCCAGAAATCGTCTCATCGTGGTGTTTTTATTGGACTTGCACAGTGTTCAGAAATATCTAATTATTAAAGAAATTACTGTTCACTCGGATATACTTACCAAACCAGTATCGTCCAATACCATTCATGTCAACATTTGATACGAAGACTGTATAAGGATCTCTTGTGCAATTTCTGAGATCAACATAGATGGTTTTATTCTCATCGGATTCGGACTGATCAACAGACGAATTGAACACGCTTTCATTCCCCGCTAAACAACTGCTAAGGTCAGGCAGTTCATATTCCAATTCAAAATCTCTTTTCATGATATCTGGTTTCGACCCTTTCTTCAGGTAAACACGAAACTGTATTCCAGGTTCCTCAGGCCGTATTTCAAAATTAATTGAAGTAAAATCGTTTTTCCGTTCGAACCTATGGTACTTCAAATATTCTTTCGTTTTTGCTGTAGTGTTTTCGTGACTTGGTTTCAAGAAGAACGAGTCTGGCTCTGGAAACAGAGTGGTGTCTCGCGGTATGGTGATAGAGAAATCCTCAGAAACGTTTGAGGTAGAAACGTTCATATCTGATTGAAACTTAATGTCAACAACGCTCGAGCTTAAACTTTTACTCGTTGTCTTGTCCCAGCTGAATGGATTCTTGTTAACAACAGCAATCTATAACATTAACGCATAGACTTACAAATATGAAAACTATAGGATGCAGTAAAAACCCGTATATAAGAACCTAGGATTTAAGAACCTGTTAGGCAAAAAATATTTTATTTAGAGCCCCTTTAAATAAATTAAATCTGTTCAGTCTATAATTTCAAAACAGATTCTTATATTATCAAGTATAGAGCCAAAATCAAGTCATCAGTTACAATCAGTGTAGCTGTAAAGGGTTGATATAGTGCATATACTGTCATTTTTTAGATCATTTGTGTATACAATCATATAATTTAAATATAAATCATATACCATGCACGCATATGCACCTCCCTAAAATGAGACGCATTTCTCTTAAGAAAATAAGACCCAATTTAAGTACCTGTTTTGCCTAATTTCTTGGTACTAAGCACCCATTTACATAAGAACCTGTTTAGGCTAACTTGGAAAAATTTTTAAATCTAGGTTCTTACTAGGGTTTTACTGTATTTCGGTAATAAATCGTGTGAAGCTAAGTTTGCGCTAATTGCATGTGCATGGTTAAGATAGGAAGAATTTTGTGTTTGCCTTTTGTAAACATTTTCCTTAAAAATATCTTGTACAAACATAAAAATGCGACATATATACAAATGTTGCATGCAAGTCTTTGTGAATTTTCATTCCTGGGGATAATACAGTATTGTTTAGGTTTGTGGATATTGTTATTATAAGACGATAAAGATCGTGACAAAGATACGGGCTTACTTATATACGGGTCAAAATAAATATAAATATACGTGGTGTTTTCCAAGAACCAAAACAAATACAAGATTGATATTCATTTATTTCAAATGAACGT